CTGTCCCCTCCCTGTGTCCTCTCCCCCCTCAGGTGCCCACAAAGCCTGGTGCAGGGCTGGGGCTGGGCTGGGGCTGGTGCAGGGCTGGGGCTGGGCTGGGCTGGGCTGGGCGGAGGCGGCCCTGGAGCTCAGCCTCGCTCTGTGCTGTGTCAGCACTTTTTGCCAGCCTGCCTTCTGCTGCTGTTTCCGGTCCCAGTCCCAGGGGGGACCCCGCTCCCCCCCCCAAGTTGTTCCAGACAGAGCCGGAGACATTCTGAGGTTGGGTTAGCGTGCTGGTGGCAGGCGGGTGGGCAGGAGGGGCTCTCCAAGCCTTGTATTCCTTCCCAGGACAGGGGAGGGGGAGGCGTGTGTCTGGGGGAGCTTTCGGGGTGAGGGAGAAGGGCCAGGCTGCTGGGATGAATCACGGGCTGGCCCGGCTGGCTATTGGCTGAAAGGAGAAGTTGTTCAAGTCCGTGGAATCTTTTTGTTTGAGCTGGGAGGGAAAACGCTGCCTGGGCTGCAGTTTCTCATTTTGCAGACATGGCGAGGGACAAAGGGAAGCAGGGAGTTAGCGGGGAGCACTTGCTGCCTGGTTTGCCCAGGGCTCTGACTGTGGATGGGGGTCACTGGGGAGAAGGAACAGGGAGGGGGAGGACAAGGCCCTGCCTAGCTATCTCGGCTTCTGAGACTTACGGGGATACCTCTGGCGTCCTCGCTCCCTGAACAACACAGACATGCACCGTGAACACAGAGTGGATGCAGAGGCCTCCCCTTACCATGGTGGCCAGGGAGCCCATCTGGGAGATGACATTTATAAGACACCCAGCTGGAGGAGAGGAAGCCTTCCTGAGTTCTGGGGAAAGAAGGCTCTGGGCAAGGGCAAATGTCCTGAGGCAGAATGAGCTGGGTGCGTTTGAGGGAGGGATAGGAGAGGCTCAGAGGCCAGAGGGGAGGGGAGCTGTTGCTTGGTGTAAGTCTGGGGTTGATCTCCCAACGTCTCCTCGGCTCCGTGGAGAGAGATTATTTGGTGAGTGTCTCACACTTAGCTGGCTGGGCAATTTCTCCATTTAGTCCCATAAACAACCTCTCTTGAGTGGTCAGATGAAGAGAACAAAATGAGAGCCCATGTCTGTTCTGTGACTCCATGGTGCCACAGGCCACTCTTCCAGCCAGGAGGCCCTCAGCTCAGCTGGAACAGAAAAGGACTTGCCTCTCTAACTAGTAGATTGTCCTCTCTTGAAAACAGTGGGGGGATTCAGACCCTGGGGGTGGGAGATCAGCACCCCTGGGAGTGATGAGGGATGGTCCCCTAGGGGCCCTGCTCTCGTGGGAAAGTGAGCAGGATTCTGGGGCTCCAGGGCCAGGGCCAGTGGTGTGAGGTGCTTCCCTCACGCCCTTTGCCCTCAGCAGCAAGCCCAGTGGATGCCTGGGACTCCAGCGGCTGAACCATGGGTGAGACCACCTGCCTCAGCTTCTCATTGGTGGAGAGCACTGACCTCAGCTCCTCATTGGTGGAGAGCATCACCCTCAACTCCTCGTTGGTGGAGAGTACCAGCCTCAGCTCTTCATTGGTGGGGAGCATCACCCTCAACTCTTCATTGGTGGAGAGCACCAGCCTCAGCTTCTCATTGGTGGAGAGCACTGACCTCAGCTCGTTGGTGGAGAGCATCACCCTCAACTCCTCGTTGGTGGAGAGTACCAGCCTCAGCTCCTCATTGGTGGAGAGCATCACCCTCAGCTCTTCATTGGTGGGGAGCATCACCCTCAACTCTTCATTGGTGGAGAGCACCAGCCTCAGCTGCTCATTGGCGGAGAGCACTGGCCTCAGCTCCTCATTGGTGGAGAGCAGTTTCCTTAGCTCCTCTGCGTGTGAGACAGAGTGAAAAGATGAAGTCCCAGCCCTAACAAGAGCTGGGCTGTAGAGACTCCATGGGAAAGAGGTCCCAGCAAAACAGCAGAATGACAAGCTGAGCACCTTCTACCAAGTGGACCCAGACTCTTACCGGGCTCCACTGCTGTCCTTTCCCCTCTACCCAACCCTGCTGCCGCAATCCCCTTCCATGGGCCTTAGTGCGTCCCAGGAGCCCGCTCAAGAGAATGCTGACGATGGTGTTGATTAAGATGGTGATGGTGGTGATGGTGATGGTGGTGATGATCGTGTTGATAACTGTCATTTACTGGACACTTACCCTTGGCACTTGGCTTTTTTTTCACTTCACAGGTACTATTAACTTTGTTCTCATAAAAATCCTGTGACTTAGGAGCTAGCATGCTGATTTCCAAAGGGGAAACAGATTCAGAGAGGTTAAATATCCGCCTAAATATCTGCCATGTCAGAGCAGGGATTAGAACATGAGCTCCTAGGCTCTCACCCAGAGCTCCCTCATGTCCTCTGTCTCTGCTGCAAGGGGCTGCACAGATGACGTGGTTCAAACAGGCCTTGCTTCTGAGGCGCCTGGAAATTCTCCCATCCACGACCCCAGGCTAGCCCAGGCTGTCCTCACGGGCGCCTGCTGCAGCTCTTCTGGGAGCTGGTTTCTCCGGAGTGAGGCCTGGTGGCTAGCATGGCGAAGGTAGTTGGGTGGCCGTGTTTAAGACTGGACCTGGCAAGTAGCTGTGCCCCATGGTGAGTCATGGAGCATGCCTGTGAAGGTATGCGTGACACAAGTCACTCGGGTGTCTCTGGGATGGGTGTAGCCGGGCTGTGGATTTGCCTAGTTGTGGAGGCCTCCGACATTGTTCCGTGACATGTTCCATGCTGAAACTCCTGATTGTTGTTCAGTAGCAGTGTAGCCGCCATGGTTTCTGGCAACCGCCAGCGTTCAGAGGCCCAGCCTCCCTGCAGGAGGGCTGCGGGACGGCAGCAGGGAGAGCCTGGCGGCTCTGCCTCTCACCTGGGGGGGATCTGCCACCACCCCTTCCTGCTTGCCTTGACCTGGGACCTGCTTGGCTGGCACATTACCACTTCGAGCCACGCCACCAGCCTTTTTGCTAATTAAAATGAAATCTTGTGGTCTTTTCTGCCCTGCTGGCTTCAAATCATGGTCCTCTGCCTCCTGAGTAGCTAGGATTATAGGGGTGATGCCTGGGTGACAGAAAACTAAGCACTGAGACAGCTTGTGCACAGTATGGCTGCATTTGGGCCTCTAAAGCCATGCACTTTGATGTGATCCTACATCGAGGTGTGAGGGGTGGGGGAGGCGGGCAGAGCCATCTCAGCGGGGCCCACCCTAGCTGCATGTGCAGGGAGTCATTTCATCTCTGTGAACCCGTTTCTTGTCTATCTCCCTATAAACCACCCACCCCTCTGGGAATGAGGGTCAGATTGAAGGGTCCGTGGTTGGGGTGCGGACCTCCCCCTGTGGGGGAGGGCTCCCCGCCTTCATGACAATGTTCAGGGCGAGGCTGGACTGTGTTCTGTGCCCAGAGCACATGGGAAGGGCAGAAGGGTGGGCTCCTAGCCCACTCTTAGCCCTCAGCTGGAGCCTAGTTTGGAATTTTGTCCACCTCAGAGGGCAGCTGTGAGAAGTGAGAGATTATAAATGTCAGGGCCTGGCACCGCACAGGGCTGTGCACGGGCCCCTGACAGCCCATCTGCCCAGAGCCCCCACGGGGGGTTCCACATGGAGGTGCCAAGACCCGCTCCCTGGGTGACTGCAAAAATCCCAATGTGAGCTCAGTGAAAGGCACCTGGCCCTTGTACGGCCCGCAGTGGACCTACCCAGAAAGAGTCTAATAGGAGTTAAAAGAAAAAAGCAGCCCTTCTTCCCAGCTGCACTCGCACCAGTGTGCGCGAGGGATGGCTACACTGGGGAACTCAGTCCAACTTTCGGGAACCTTAGGCGGGACAGCAATGTCTTGTTCTCAAATGACAAGGCCAAGTGGGGACTTGCGGTGCTGCCACATGTCACGGGATGGGCCCAGCGTGGAGGCCGGCCCGTGAATTACAAAGCAGACACCACGCGGGACCATTTGCCATGGGTCCACCCAAGCTTCTAATTTGAGATTCTGAGCTGCCTTGGTCTGTGGTCCCCCACACTGGGGACAGCGGCCTTTGAAGTCTGGTGTTTTTCAACCAGCACTCAGAGCATTAAGGAAAAAAAAAGTATTTTTTAAACAAAGGAGGTATATTTTAGAAGCTTGTGCTTGAACAAAAAAGCCACTGCCAGAACACACAAACATACTTTTGAGGTTCACTATGGTTTTTTCACTGGGAAATGGCCTCCTTTGGTGAGATTTGATGTGGGAGCTTGGAATGCTAGGGGCGCTTGCAGGCCGAGTTACCATAGAACACATGGTTGTAGGCCAGAGGCAGCCATGAAGGTTAAGTAACTTCCTTGGGCCGGGCGCTGGTGGCTCATGCCTGTAATCCTAGCTACTCAGGAGGCTGAGATCTGAGGATCACAGTTCAAAGCCAGCCTGGGCAGGAAAGTCCCTGAGGCTCTTATCTCCAATTAACAACCAGAAAACTGGAAGTGGCACTGTGGCTCAAGTAGAGCGCTAGCCTTGAGCTGAAGAGCTGAGGGTCAGCGCCCAGGCCCAGAGTTCAAGCCCCGTGACTGACAAAAACAAAAAACCAAACCACAACAACAGAATTTTCTTGGGCACTGTATATGTAGCAGGAGAACAGATTGCTTCCTCTTTGTGGCGGCTTGGCTCACCTGCAACTGCACCAAACCCAGGAGGCTCTCTGAAGTTGGGGTAGCACCACCACCCACCCAGACCAAGGCAAAGCCCAGGGCCTGTGCCTCTGCATTCCCCATCCTCTAAGGACTCCTGGTGTTTGGTCCCCAGGTTTGTGGCATCATCTCAGCCAGTGTTTTGGAGATCTCACACACACTGGTGAAATGACAACAAAAACCTTCAGGACTCCAGTGGAGTGCGCAGTGACCTCTGCCTTTCGCCATCGGTGTGAAAATCCTCACGGAAAGCCACGCAGGTCGCCAGGTTCACCTGGGGGGGGGGGAGGGCGGGCAGCACTTGGAGGTGAGTGAGGGGGGCAAGAGACAGAAGCCGCCATCTTACATTACATTCTTTTATTATTGTATATATGTGTGTGTGTATATATATATATGCAGATCTGTTCTATGTACAACAACTAGTCCTATCAAACAATCAAACAAGGCATTCTGCTGGTAATCTTCCCTCAAACAGACTGAGGTTAGATTAAATATTTATGCACTTTTCAGGTTATCAAAATTTATGACTGATTCTAGTTCTGAACCCATATACAGAATTCAAAATATACACTAAGTGCATTAAGGCCATCAGAGTATGCTGAAAGAAACCATGGGATTCAGAAGAATTGAGAGTGCATTTTGCCAGCATCAGTGACAATGTGAATGGCAGATACTGTGTGCGTGTCAGCTTCCGAGGGCATCTGGGTGCATGCCCGTCTAGGTGGGTGTGCAGGGTGGGGTGTGGCTGCCTGACCGGCCGGAGCCCCGCCCGCTCACTTCTCCTCTGTCTCTCCTTTGCCTTCCTGTTTCAGTTTGTAATCAGCCAAGGCAGCTTTGATTGCATCTTCTGCCAGCACTGAAAGGAACAGAAGACAGCCTAGGCTTAGATTCTAGGGGTGTGGCCCAGGGAGGTTTCTTGTGAACCTTCTGTTTTATCTTGTTCCACTTGGAGGTACACCTGTGCCAGGGCCGAACCTGGCTGGGTGGCTTTGGGGGCACAGGCTGGGGCTGGGGTTCTGGCTAGTTCTGTATCTTGGGATATACTGTCTCTCCTCAACAACAGATGGTCCTGCTTTTCCTGCTGGGACAGGGAAAGGATCTTGAGCAGGAATGGAAGAAAAGCCAGTTCTCGTCAGCTGTGGGGACGTGGAGTCGTGTCCATGCTGGGCTTGTTGCCTCCCCTACTTATCAGCTGTGTGATACAGTACCTTTACCTGAACACCTGCTCCTCCACCCCCCACGGGGGTGGAGGGTCATAGGCCACCGCCAAGCCTCCCAGGGGATATCATCTGGTCAGTTGGCACACCCCCCTCCCAACAGGACTCTATGAGTCCCTGGCTTGATACCACGGGGCTTTACCCTGCAGATGGCTATAAAGACTGACTCCATGAGCTCTAATTCTCTCCCGGTGATATGGGTTACAAACGCCACATGACTACAAGGACCCTGTGATTTGTGTTACTGGTGGCTTAGGGGGCACTCACTGGAGCAGTGCAGTTTCACGGGGGGCAGGCAGAGCTCCTTGGCGATATCCGTGTTTTTGATGGTCAAGGCTTCCTCCACCTGATGGATAGGGGGAAAAGACAGGGAAGAGGAGCCCTTGGGGGAGGCTTTCTCTCTCAAGGCCAGACTCGGACTCTTGAGAAACTTCAAGAACATCAACAACGTAAAGAATGCCAGGGTTTCTTTTCTATTCTGTTTTGTCAGAGGGACATGCAAGGGTCTTTTTCCTGTGTAACTGGTAAAACACTGTCCAACCCCTGAACAAATGAAAATGACCAATCAAAAGCTGCAGCAACACCTAACAAGCTGGTCCATCATTCTGATGTGAGAAACAGCATCAACACCTGGGTAAAAAAAACCCAAAAACTTTTAATTAAAGGGAAAAGACATAACCCATCTGAGCAGGGAGAAATCAAAATGGATGTTTTAAACAGTATTTTGAAGAAGTCATGGTTACTATTTTTCTTTTGTTGGTTGTGGAGCTTGAACTCAGGGCCTGGGCACTGTCCCTGAGCTCTTTCGCTCAAGGCTCTTCCACTTTTTTTTTTTTGGGTTGGGTCATGGGGCTTGAACTCTGGGCCTGGGAGCTGTCCCTCAGCTCTTCAGCTCAAAGCTAGCGCTCTACCACTTGAGCCACAGCGCCACTTCCAGCTTTTTTCTTTTTGCTTACGTGGTGCTGAGGAATCGAACCCAGGGCCTCATGCATGCAAGGCAAGCGCTCTACCACTGAGCCACCTTCCCAGCCCCGACTCTTCCACTTTGAGCCACAGCACCACTTGTGGTTTTCTGGCGGTTTATTGGAGATAAGGGTCTCACTAACTTTCCTACCTCAGCTGGCTTTGAACTGTGATCCTCAGATCTCAGCCTCCTGAGTAGCTAGGATGACAGGTGTGAGCCACCGGTGCCGGGCTCCTATTGTTCTTTTTTGAGAGAGGATCTTGCTGTGGAGCCTGAGTTGGCTTTCAACTTACAGTCCTCCTGCCTCGACCTTTTAGGTTGGTGCTTTTCTCACAAGCCTCTCTGAGAGGCAGTGAGGCTGCCAAGAAGGCCATTTAGCTCCATCACCCTCATGAACAACCTTACCGTCTTCCCTTTCACCCATTCCGTGGCTAAGGAGCTGGAGGCAATCGCAGAACCGCAGCCAAATGTTTTAAACCTGGCATCCACAATCTTGCCGTCTTCATCCACTTGAATCTAGAAGACAGACAAGCGTTAAGGGGAATCTAGAAGAGAGATACACGTTGAGTGGTTGTTCCTGGGGCTGCCTCCTGGAAGCCAGGAGCCTGGCACGCATGTGGGCACACCCATATGAGTTCTAGGCTGGCTGTTCCCACTATAAAGTACGCATTCAATTCTGCTGCTTTCTCTAAAGAGCTCAGTGATGAGAAATGAAACCTAGAACCACACAGGTAAGATCAGCTGGAAAATAACACGGCCCCTCCCCACCCCCTGTTTTGATTGTGGCCCCGTTGCTGTTTGGGTGAATTCTGAGGAGGTCTCCTCACAGCTGCTGGGGCAAACTGCGAGAGCCTGCAAGCAAGGGCTCTGGTGAGTTCTTTTCTCTTGGGCACCAAACTGCACTTCTGCTGTATTTCTATTGTCCAAAGTAGGTATAAGGACCTCCTCTAGTGAGCTGCCCACATACCACAAAGGAGACTGTGCATATACAGTTCTGGCTTACACAAAGCACTCTTCTCTACCTTCAATCACTTCGAGTCTGAGAGAGGTCCTGCTTTATCTTGTTCCATTTGGAGATTTCCTTTGAAGGAGGAATTGAAACTGGGAAGCCAGCACAGAGCTGGGCCTTGGTACTGAGGCTAGTATCTAACACTGACTCATTCCACTTCAGGGGAACAGAGCCGGGAGATGGAGTGAAATGCTTTACGTGCAAGACCATTAGGAAGCACTGGGTGGGAGAGGGCCCACTGTTACCACCACTGAAGATGAAACAGATGAATGGGCTGCACCTGTAATTTCATGACGTCTCCACATGCCGGAGCACCCACCAAGCCTGTGCCGACATTTTTAGATGTCTTGTCCAGGGAGCCCACATTTCTAGGGTTTTCATAATGATCCACAACCTGAAACCACGGGGTGAAGAGAATTCATGATTACCACTCTGGCTTTCCTTGAAGTCAACACCCTGAACTTGGCAGGGCAGGGAGGCCTACACTCATGGCAGAGAACCGTGGTGACCCCTAACTCTTTCTGGACTCCTCCAACTACTTCAGAGACTGGAGGCGCTTCTTGAGATCAGGGCCAAAACAAATCCTCAAACCATCAGGGAAAGCCTGTCTCGGTTCAGAGCTGTCAAGCAGAAACAATCACTTGACTTTTCAAAAAACACCTACCTCACCAGATTTGGCTCCAACACCATTTGTGTTATTTCCAGATCAAATCCATTCTCAGAAAAGAATGATTATCTAAAGAATCCCATGAGTCAGTATGTCCCAGGAACAGAAGGCTTTCTTAGAAGCTTCAAGGTGACTGTTACAAAACAAGCAATTCTAGGCAATCAGGCTCTGAAAATAAACAGCACCACTGCTGCATTGCAGCGCCCCCTGGTGTTCAAAGCCTGGAAGTCCAGGTTCCCTTGGCGTTGTCAGGTCAACAACAGCCAGCGCTGAATAAACACCATGAAAACAGACACAGGCAAGGCTCTATAACCCTGGGGTTTGCCCATCTATCAGAAGTGAGCTTCCCGCTCCCCAACTGACCACAGGTCAGCCTCTCTTAGGCACTTACAATATGCTATCTGTAGTTGTTGTTGTTTTTGTCAGTCCTGGGGTTTGAGCTCAGGGCCTGGGCACTGTCCCTGAGCTTCTTTTGCTCAAGGCTGGCACTCTACCACTTGAGCCACTTCCAACTTTTCTGTGTATGTGGTACGGAGGAATAGAACCCAGGGCTTCATGCATGCTAGGCAAGCGCTCTACCACCGAGCCACCTTCCCAACCCTGTAGTTTTTACTAATAGCGGATTCATTTCATTTTTAACTGTTGTCCAAGTGGATTTCCCCATCTATTGACTTTAACGGCCCCGGGAGGCAAGGGGCCACAAACTACCTATCTATCACTCTTGTTCCCCCTCCCTCTCCCCCCCACCCCCGGCAAACGAGAAGAAGAAAACCCAAACTTTATGCTTGTTGTTTGTGTGTCTGAATCCTCTCGGGGGGCTCTGCGCTCCTAAAACGATCACATTGCCACAAAAGGGCTTCCACAAGGGGCTAAGAGTGTGCCGGGCACCGCGCCTGATCTCTTGCAGGGGGACAGACAGCTGGACTCAATTTTCACACGGAGGTCCGGGATAGGCCTGGGGGGGGGGCGGTGGTGGCCGTGGCTGAACCCCGCTTTCACACGGGGGGGGTGGGGGTGGGGAACAGGCCCAGGAGCGGCTGAACCCCGCTTTCACACAGGGGGGAGGGGAACAGGCCCAGGAGCGGCTGAACCCCGCTTTCACACAGGGGGGAGGGCAGACAGGCCTAGGGAGGCGCCGTGGCTCACTTCGCCGGGGCCGCGGGGCGATGGTGGCGGCGAAGGTCGCCGGACTCGGGGTGACAAGTGTCACGGGACCTCCCCCCCGGCGGCCAGCGGGTCCCGAGTCAGCACCGCCGGGCGGCGGCCA